AGAACAGGAGCTAGAAAAGGAATAAAGAATGTCAAAGGATTTGGGGAAGAAAAGAGGCACATGCATGGTTAAGAAGATTCTTGGAATGAGTCAAGATTTAGACAGATGTATGCCCAGTGCACAACTGGTGTGGCGTTCACTGCTGTGGATACATTTGCTGGATAGACACTTGGCAGGGAGCTAAGAACAGCATGGGTGAGAGGAGAGAATTAGTTTTAAAGTATACCATGAAATAGAAATCTTTCTAGACACAAGCTTCCAGAAGTAGAAAGTCCACACCAGGAATGTCTACACCATTTTGTCTCACTGTCTGCAAGAGGTTAAGTCCAGAGCAAGGAAACAGCCACTGTTTGTCAAGGACTGTGTAGTTCATAGCATGCTTTCATTTACTTCCTGAAGATTCAACATTGGTCAAGCATCCTGATCGACATGGAAACAATATGGAAACTGAAAGGAGAGGCGTAGGACCCTTGGCAAGTATCACAGAACAAGTGCATGATGGGGCTGGAATTCACAGCTAGGCTTCTGCCCACAAACAGCTTCACATTAAACATACAGTAGTGTGTTCCCACTCCTCTGGGTAAGAGGCTCAGAGCTCAGCCTTCCCACCGCACCAATGCTTCAACCTAGGTCTGCACCTGAAGGGAGTGTGAACCAACTGTGCTTCCTCCTGGAAGAGGAAACCTGTCTGTAATACAATTTTATGAGAAGTGTTAGTTAAGGTCTGCCACCACTTACAGGTCAACATATTTGGTTATGTCCCTTCACGCTCATTTTCCAGGGATAAAGACAGTGCTCTAAACTCAGCCGTGTTTCTAATCCTGGGATGAAAACAGAAGACTAACATGGTCTCTCCTGGAATGTCTTCCTGCACTCTAATACAAGGCCTGTGAACAAATATCAGCCCATGACTGAATCCAGTATCAAGTAGCTGGTTGACCCCCATGTTGTTGTTGTTATGTGCCGTGGAGTTGGTTCCGACTCATAGCAACCCTGTACAGGGTTTCCGAGGCTACAAATCTTTACTGGAGCAGAAAAAGCCTCATCTTTCTCCCATAGAACAGCTGGGAGTTTCGAACTGCTGACCGTAAGATTAGCAGTCTGATTCGTAACCACTATGCTACCAGAGAAGATCAAACCCACTGATGTCAAACTGATCAGAGATCCTATCGGACAACGTAGAACTACCCCGTAGGGTTTCCAAGACTGTAAGTCTTCACAGAGTTAGACTGCTCCTTCTTTCTTCCCCTGAGCAGCTGGTCACTGGGTTAGTAGCTGAGCTCTTTAACTCTGGTGCTGCCCAGTTCCTTATAGGAAAGACCAATTCCAATGCTGTCAAGTCAATTTCAACTGATAGTGAGCCGACAGGACAGGGCAGAACAGCGCTGTCCTACAGTGTTTTCAAGGCTATCCATCTTGATAGCAGCAGAGTGCTTCACCTGTCTCCCACAGAGCAGCTGATGGCTTCTACCTGCTAACCCTTCAGTTAGGAACCAAGCATTCCACCACTGTACCACAGAGAACACAGGCTGGGCTCAATCGTAAAGCTCACAATGCACAGGGTATGTATGGGATGAGAGGAATGGACTTGGCCCCACCAGGTATGTATAGGATGAGCGGAACGGACCTCAAGCTCTTCAAGAGGGAATTCATATACAAAGAACATAGCAAAGACTCTGAAGCTGGTCTTTTCTTTCTTTTTTTTTGGAGGGGCAGGGTCGGTTCTTTCTCTTTAGCGATTGTTGCAACCAAGGCACCTAGCAGTTAGCTTCAGAACACCTCTGACAGCAAGCAGCTTTGGATCGCATGTCTCCCCGAGCCAGCAGGATTGTCTTTCATTCCACGAGGCTGCTGCACGCTTTGCCAGGCTTTACCAGGAAAATGGGCGGATAGTAAAGGAGCTGGGCTCTTGCCAGAACACTGCTTTGGGCCTAGCTCTGCCACTGTAACTGAAGATAAGAGAAGTGTCCCTGAACCTGTGAGGTCTTCCTGTTCCAGGGACGTGTAGGAAGGGCAGGAGGAGAGTGTGTCCAGGAGGACTGGCAGGGTCTGAACGGAGGTTTGGGGCCTGAAGGACTGCACTGGATGAAGGAGCCTTGAAGGGGGAGTATTTCAACCAAAGGTCCAGTAATTACACACCAGGAAGGCAGGCAGATGTGGCCAAACTTACCAGTTTGGTCTTTGAACGTATCTGTGGGCCCTGCAAATACAAAATGCTTTGCTGATTGGTTTTCAAACCCTGTTCCAAAGCTCTTGGCCTCCAAAGACTCTCGGTGAAACTTTTGAGTTCGTTCTAGGGAAAGGTGGGGAGCAGCTGATGGGGGTCTGTCTGCCTTCCTGCATTGAGGGTCCCCATAAGATTCCATCTTAGCTTTTAAAACTTTTTATTTATTTATTTATTTTGACAAGTGCTCAGATCTTAAGTGCACAGCATTCTACATCTGTACACATAGGTGCAAACATCCCTAAGGTTAAAACCTAACACATTCTAGCAACTCAGAAGTCTCCCTCTTCCAGGCACTGTGGCCCAGGGTAAGCCGGGCTTTAATGGCTAAACCATAGAGAAGTATCTGTTTTGAATGTCTTAAAAAATAAATCATTCAGTGTGTCCTCTTTTGTATCTGGCATCTTTCACTCAAAACTGGGTCCGTGAGACTCATCTATACTTTTCCATGTTATTCCCATTGCTGGGTAGTCTTCCATCGTTTGCATATAGCATAACTTATGTATCCATTCCATTACTGATATAAATTTGAGTTGTTTCCAGTTTGGACTATTACAATAAGGTTTCTAGAAACATCCTTATGCATTTTTTTGGAGATGCCTTTAGGATCCTTCCCGGAGATGAGTTACACTGGATAAAATAGTCTGAGGACTCAACGTTTTAACTCCCAGGTTAGTAAAGCAAATGGCATTCATTCAGGAAGTTCTTTGATCTTAAAGAACACTTTCCACATGGACCGATAAGGACCCTCCTCTAGGAGGTGAAGAAAAAGTTCAAATATATGGAAACTACCAAGGTGTTTAGAATCCTGGTGTGGCACTGCAGGCTAATGCGCTGGACTGCAAGGTCTGTTTGAACTGCAAGGTTGGCAGCTCAAACTCACCAGCTGCTCCTCAGAAACCCTATGTAGGGTCGCAACCTACTTGATGGCACTTGACAGCAACAACAAGGTGGTTAGTGGAACGGATGCTCTATTACAAATAAAATAGAGCAGGTATCTAGAGATATGTGTGTGTGTGTGAGTTGTCTCTGTGTGTTGTTGTGGGAAGATTATCAGTCTGGGCAGGTTACCCAGACTGTGGCTATATGACGGAACCACTAACACAGAACAGATGAGGGAGGGGGGGAAACAATGACATGAGATGAGGCTGGAAAAATAGATTGCAGTCAAACTCTAAGGAGCTTGAATACGAAGCTAAAACCTTTGGGTTTTATACACAGGCAACAGAGAATGATTGCATGCTTTTGATAGACTTCAGCTGGCACTTAACCTTGGCTTGGGTAGGTGGCCAGCACTAGTCCTGTCACCTACTGGCTTCTCCTTTTGTTTGACCACTAAGCTTTTAAGATGTACTCTAAGCAGGACAAGTCCTGGTTGGCATTGCAGGATCAGCACTGGACGGCTAACTCTAAGGTTGACAGTTCAAACCCACAAGCTGCCCTTTGGAAAACCCATACAGGGTGGATATGATGGCACTTAACAACAACAACAATTAAGAAGGCAGTGGGTTAGGCATTAGGCTGCTAACTGCAAGGTTGGCAGTTCAAATCCACCAGCTGCTCTATGGGAGAAAGGTGATGCTGTCTCCTTAGTAAAGATTTAGATTTACAGTCTCAGAAACCCTAGATAGGGTCACTGTGAGTTAAAATGGACTCAGAGGCAATAGAGCGCTTCAGGAGACAGACAGACATGTAATGCGGAACGTCCTACTAAGCTAAAGTAAAAAGAGTTGATCAGTAGAAGACAATATGGGGGCAGGATAGATAGTAAAGGTCAAACTGCCTCTGTTCAAATCCCGGCTCTGCCATTTATCAGCTGTGTAACCTTGGAAAATGCTACATAACCTTTCTTTGCCTCTGTTTCTTCATCTGTGAAATGGGGATTTCAATCATTTTTATATCTTAGGGTTGTTGAGAAGATTCAATGAGTACTTGGAAGGGTTTGGCACATAGTAACCACTCAGTACAATTAACTGAAGCTATTACTCTGTGAGCACTGAAATTAGAGGACAGAAGCATGGTACAGCTTATGGACCTACAGCCATGACCTTGCATTGTCAGTTGTTACATATACATGCAATGGACAGAAGGGACAAGGTCAACCGGGATTTAAAAGTTCAAAATTCTAAGATGCAGCCCATCATCCAACAAGTGTTCAAAATTACCTAATTCTTCTTAGTTACAGAAAGGAGATAGGAAATTAATAGGTCTCAAATTAACCTCAACCATTAGCTCCAATCCTGTGCTCTTTAATGACTTACTTGGATCAAATGCCCAGCAATACAGGTTTCCATGGGGGTTTTGTTAAGCTGCACAAAACTTTTCCTTTAGGGACACAGCAGGATTTGAACTCAGGGTCAAAGGAAAATGCCGCCTTTGAGTATAAACTTATTTCCTCAGGTTTGGTGGGAGGGGGGAGTGGAGAATCATAGCACTTGGGGGAGACTTGGAAAAATGAGTTCCATTGTAGCTGGACCCCATGTTTCTTGGGAGAAAATGGAAGAGGCTCAGTGCCTGATCTTCATTCCACACCTAGAAATGATGTGCAGACAGGTCTGTGATAAGTCCACACACAAAACTACCCTGGTCGAAGCTGTCTACAACACGTTAACGTGGTGGTTTAATCAGAACTTATATGCCACAGCTCTCTGACTTTAGATTACTGTGGGAATGCCTCGTGCTGTCTTAGAATGGGGCTCTCAGGTAGGGCTCCCCTAGTCTGCTGAAAAAATCAGCAATGACAACGTGGGAGTGGGTTGGAAGGCTCGGACCTTACCTCCACATACAGGAGAGGGAAAATCCCAATCTTGTCTCCCAGCATCCCTTCTGCCCAGTTATCATCGACTCTTCTGATCACAGTCAAAATTTCATCCTGAGATTTTTGGATTTTCATGTACACAAACACATGTACACACACACACACACACACAACAAAGAAAGAAAGAAAGAAAGAGATTGGTTAGTACTGCTGAGACTCAGAAAGAATTTCAAAAAAAAACTTTTCATTGTAATTTGTCTGAAAGTTTACAGAGCAAATTGGTTTTCCATTCTGAGAAAAGATGTGTACGATTCCTCGTATGGTTTCCAGCACTCGTCTGTAAGTCTGTCATCCTGCAACACTAGAAGCCCTGCCACTGGGATTTTGAATGCTGGTAGGGTCATCCCTGGTGGACAGGTGTGTCAGCTGAGCTTCCGGACTAAGACGCACTTGAAGAAGGGGAGGCAGACTTTTTCAAATGTTCAACCACTTGAAACCTTATAAATAGTAGTAAAACACTGTGTCAGATAACACCAGAATACTGAAAACTGAAACAGGATAAAGAGCGCCAGAATACCGTGGTGTTGGCATTTGAGCCCCTCAGGTTGGAAGGCACTCAAGATGTGACTGGGGAAGAGCTGCCACCTCAAAGTAGAGTTGACCATGATGATGCGAATGGAGTAAAGCCTTTGGGACCTTCATTTGCTGATGGGGCCCAGCTCAAAACGAGAGGAAACAACTGTAAATATCTACGGATAATTAATACATGAATCTAAGAAAATTGGAAGTTATCAAAAATGAAATCAATAAACATTGATATCTCAGGCATTAGAATGCTGAAAAGCATTGGCACTGTCCATTTTGAATCTGACAATCATGGTTTACTATGACACGGATGAAAAATGGAAGAGAAATGGCATTGCATTCATGATCAAAAAGAAGATTTCAAGATCTATCTTGAAGGATAATGCTATTTGTGTTAGGAGAGCACCTGTACGCCTACAAGGAAGACCAGATAATACCACTATTATTCAAATTTATTCAGCAACCATTAAAGCCAGTGAGGATGAAATTGAAAAACCCTACCAACCGCTACTGACTTCTGGTGTGGCAGTGCCGGTTAATGCGGTCAACTGTGACGTCGGTTTGGACCATTAAGGCCGGCAGTTCCAACTCATCAGCTGCTCCTTGGAAACCCTGTACAGGGTCACTATGAGTCAGATCCTGACTTGATGGTACTTAGCAACTAGCTACAACAACCAACCTCTACAGTCTGAAATTGATCAAACAATCAAGATGTATTAATAATTACTGGGGATTGGAATGCAAAGGTTGGAAACTATGAGGAAGGATTAGTAGCTGGAAAATATGGCCTTGGTGATAGAAATGATGCTGGAGATTGCATGACAGGATTCTGCAAACCAGTGACTTGTTCAATGCAAATGGCTTTTTAAAACAGCATAAAAAAATGACTATACATATGGACCTCACCAGGTGGAATACACAGAAATCAAATTGATTACATCTGTGGAAAGGGATGGTGGAAAAACTCCATATCATCAGCCAAAACAAGGTCAAGGGCAGACAGTGGAAGAGGTGATCAATTGCTCACATGCAAGTTCAGGCTGAAGCTGAAGAAAATGATAACAAGTCCACAAGAGCCAAAATCAGACCTTAAGCATATCCCAAGGAGCTCTGGTAGCGTAGTGGTTACGAATTGGGCTGCGAACCTGAAGGTCAGCAGTTCGAAACTACCAGCCGTTCCACGGGAGAAAGATGAGGCTTTCTACTCCCGTAAAGATTTACACCCTTGGAAACCTTGTACAGGGTCGCTATGGGTCGGAACCGACTCGACGGCACTTAACAACAACAACAACCTGAATTCAGAGATCATTGGAAGAACAGATTAGATGCACTAGACAGTAAGATCAAAGACCAGAAGAGCTGAAAGAGTTTCATCCAGAAAGATGAAAGCAAAAGGTCATTAAGGAGACAAGGAAGAAACACACAGGAAGAAAACAAAAGGTCATTAAGAAGACAACAAAGAAGGAAAAGACGAAAACAGATGTCAGAAGAGATTCTGACACTTGTTCTCCAATGTAGAGATACTAAAGCAAAAACAAGAAATAAGGAGGAAAAAGAGGTGAACAGAAGATTTCAAAGCCCAGCTCGAGAAGACAAAATCAAACACTGAAATGAAATGTTCAAAGACCTGGAGTTAGAAAACCAAAAGGGAAGAATAAACTCAGCATTTCTCAGACTGAGGGACTTAAGAAAAAAAAAAAAAATTAAGCCTCTTTAAAGTGTTGAAGAGCAAAGTTGTCCGTTTGAGGACTAAAGTGAACCTGACCCAAGCCAAGGTACTTTCAATAGTCTCATATATGCAGGCAAAAGTTGGACAATAAATAAGGAAGACTGTAGAAGAATTGATGCATTTGTGTCATGGTGTTGGAGATCACTAACGACACCATGGACTGCCAGAAGAACAAACAAATCTGTGTTGGAAGAAGTACAACTAGAATGTTCCTTAGAAGCCAGGATGGCCGGACTTCATCTCTCATACTTTGGACATATTACCAGGAGGGGCCCATTGCTGGGGAAGAACATCATGCTGGGTAAAGTAGAGGGACAGTGAAAAAGAGGGAGACCCCCAACAACATGGTTTGGCACAGTGGTAGCAATCATGCAATCAAGTGCAGCAGCAACTGTGTGAGTCTGGCACAGGACTGGGTCATGGTAAGCTCTGTTGTACATACGTCGCTATGAGTAGGAACTGACTCGACAGCACTCAACAATAACAACCACCCTTGGTTTATTACCCACTTAGATATATGACCCATGAAAACCATCAGCCCCTACATCTTCACCCATGAATCTCCTTTACTCTCTCTCACGTTACTCATTACTGCTGCAAAGATTCTCAGATGAGAAAGTGTGGCGATTTACAATACAGCTGATGCTTTAAAGTTCATGTTCCTATTATTTATTTAATGCAATAAATGTATGAAAACACATTCAACTAAGTATTAAATGTTTTCAGTTTCTGGCTGTACTAAAGAACAAGAAATAATCTATCTCAACTCTATTATTTAGAGTTGAGGGTCCATAAAGCTTTGAATAGCCCTCTTAAATTCTTTGGGCTATCACACAAACATGACTGCACAAAGTGGAAAGAGATGGAAGGAGAAAAGAAGATGCATGATGAACTTGCAGAGCAGACTAGACGGCAGGCAGTTTATGAGGAAGCAAATATCCGGGTTCACAAGTCCCTGGAGCTGAACGGAAGGGTGGATGACCACAAAGTATCCAGAGGGAGTGGGAGACTAACCAAGCTGTAGAAGTATAAAGAGGGACCAGAAGCCACTACAGAGACAGCCCTGGGAAAACTGGGGCCGGCTCTGGTCCTGGTGTAGCGCTGTAGGATCAGCACTGGACTGCTAACCACAAGGTCGGCAGTTCAAACCCAACAGCTCCTCCTCCTTGGAAACCTCATACAGAGTCATTATGAGTCGGAAACAACTCGATGACGCTTAACAATAACAAAAACAATGCTCCAAGGAGCCCTGGTGGAAGAGTAGCAAGCACTGGGCTGCTAACTAAAAGGTCAGGGGTTCAAACCCACGATGTGGCCGTCTGTAAAGACTGTTGTTATTAGGCGCTACTGAGTCTGTCCTGCTAGTACGCACACCACCATGACCCACTGCCTGGTCCTGTGCCAGTCTCACAAGTTTTGTTACTTTTGAGCCCAGTGAAGATGATAAGGCTACTGCCTTGCAAACCCTATAAAGCAGTACTAAAAAGTACTCTCTCTTATCACGGTCAGTCTGAATTGACCTCACGGGTACCCCAGACTCACCTCAGTTCCCTTTCCTACAGTCATTATTCAGCATGCAGAGCAGATAGTTACTGTTGTTGTTGAGGGCCATCGAGTTGGCTCTGACTCACAGTGGCCCTGTATAGGGTTTCCAAGGAACAACTGATGAATCTGAACCACCGTCCTTACGGTCCAGTACATTATCCTACAACACGACAGGGCAGATAGTGGCACACCCCAAAGTTTGCCTAAACCTACCTATCATTCGTCTTTCCGGAGTCTGTTAGACCAATTGGCTAACCCAGGAATCGAATGGGCTAAAGAGATACAGTGTCCAAGAGCAGCCTAATAGTGGTAATCCCTATTAGATCTGATTGTAGCATCTGCCTGTCCAACTAGACTTCAGCACTTTCGTGTCAAGCAATGCTATGGGACCATTTCGGCTTCATTTTAGGGTCTTTTTAGTCAGGTGATGGTGGTGGTGTGCCATGGAGTCGGTTCCAACTCCTAGAGATCCTGCATAGGGTTTCCAAGGCTATAAGTCTTTATGGGAGCAGAACGCCTCATGTTTCTCTATACTTTATAAAGTTATCACAAAAGCTACTTTGCTGTGAATCTGAATGCACTAATGGTCTGGGGGTGGGTGGGTGGTGGGTCAGCTAGGGCAAGGTGAGACGAGCTAATGGAAACTGAATATATATTCCTCAAAATGCAAGACACAGAAAGGCAAGGACATGCATGTATACTAGAAATACCCACAAGATCTACTGCCAACTCCTTCCCTCACACTGGTTTGTGAGTACAAGACAGAGCTTGGGTGGCATTATGCTCCATTTTCCCGTCTCCTCACTTCCAGTGTCCCAGCTTCAAACAAATATCAAACAACAAAATGATCTGCAACTTGGAAATACCTCTAGTTGATGTCACTTGTTGTTATTGTTAAGTGCCATTGAGTTGGTACCGACTTATAGCGGCCGTCTATTGGGTTTCCGAGGAGCAGCTGGTGTTGATGCCATAGACCAGAAAAACACAGCAGGCTTTGTAAGGAAACCATACCACCTCACATGCTACACACACACGATTGATTCTTGGACTATAGGATTATACCTGGAAGGGTGTTCCCCTAACACATCGAATTAACTGCATATGCCAAAATGAATTCTATTAAGGACTCAAGATGGAGTTTTTAAAAAGAAACACTTGAATACAGAAGAAAAAAATGAGTAAATGTTTAATCTTGTGCTGGGCAAGGCCTTTCAAAGTATGAGAGCAGAGATTTGACCATAGAAAAACTCAATCG